ACGAAATCATTATCCTCATGTCCCTGTTCATCTTGGAAATCCTGTACTCACATTTGTCGACGACATCATCATCTTTTCCAACACACTTGAGGAACACGCTCAACACGTAGCTGCAGCTATCGAACGTCTCACCAGCGTCAACTTAATCCTCAACCCCAACAAGTGTCATTTCGCTCAAGAATCAGTTTACTTGCTTGGATTTTGTGTATCAGCACAAGGAATTGGTTTGGATCCTCGCAAGGTTGCAAATGTTCAAGAGTGGCCGGTACCTCGCACTGGCAAAGACGTACAACGGTTTCTTGGTGTTATCAACTACTTTCGTGAATCAATTCCCAATGCAGCTTCGAGGATGGCACCTCTCAACAAGCTACGACTTGAGCACCGTTTAGACGACTTATGGAATGACAGCGCACAAGCAGCTTTTATCGACCTCAAACGTGTGTTATTACACGCACCTATTCTCAGCTATCCAAATCTCAAACATCCCTTCCAAGTGGCAACCGATGCATCAAATACAGGGATTGGAGCTGTACTTTATCAGATTATCGATGGCACAACACATCACATCGCTTTTATGGCACGATCTTTATCTCCTTCTCAACGCAACTATTCCACCACAAAACGTGAGTTACTTGCTATCATCTTCGCCCTCAACAAATTCCATCAATACATATGGGGCAATCATTTCACCTTGTGTACAGATCACAAAGCGCTGGTCTATATTCATACACAAAAAGTGGCTAACGCCATGATGATCAATTGGCTGGATACTATTCTCGAATACTCATTCGATGTCGTGCACATTCCTGGATTGGACAACACCCTACCTGATCAACTATCTCGCCTTTTTCCCACTGAAAAAAAGCTGGCAGGGGGCAATGCATCACACGACAAACAAACATCCACGCAAAACAACGCTATACACGTTACAGGTAACCAAGGCAACAATGACAGCAGTGATGAACAGGATGATGACTTATATTTTGAACCTCCTGAAAACGAACGTAGACAACTGCTTAAGGATGCGCATCAATGCAAAGAAATGTTGAAAGACGCACACGCCTTCGGACACTTTGGAGCAAAGGCTATGGTCGCACAATTACAACAAGATGGACTCAAATGGAACAACATGCATCGACAAGCACAAGAGATTGTACACGCTTGCACACAATGTCAACAAAACAACATTGCAAAACAAGGCTATCAACCTTTACGTCCTATACATGCATTTCTTCCTGGTGACCATTGGGCTATCGATCTCGCTAGTGGATTCGACAAAAGTCATAATGGCAACCTCTACATACATCTTGGTTATGGTAGATGTATGCACACGTTTTTGCGTATTACACGCCCTTCCGGATAAAACGTCTGACACAGTTGTTAAAGCGGTTATTGACACTTTTTGCGATTATGGATTCCCTCGCTATCTACAATCTGACAACGGCACTGAATTCGTCAACACTTTGATGCACAAGTTAAGGAATGCCGCAGGCTTTGATAATCGACTTACTACACCTTACCACCCACGAGCTAATGGATTAGCTGAACGTTTCGTCCAAACGTCTATCAATACAATCCGCAAAAGCATTAATGGAGCCACCAGGGATTGGGATTTATACGTCAAACCAACTCAACTAGCACTCAACAGCAAAGTGGCCAGCATACACGGATCTTCACCATTTGCCTTGATGTTCAATCGCGCCATGAATGGATTCCGTAATTACAACAATGATGATATACCACAGCCACTCACCGAAAAAGAGCTGATGGATCGCATTGATCACATGTCCAATACGGTTTTCCCGGCAATATCAGAAAGAGCACAGGCATTACAAAAGCTCAAGAAAGGTCGACATGATGCTAAGTACAAGATGATACATTTTCCTCCAAACAGCAAGGTCATGGTCAAGGATGTACTACGCAGTAAGAAGATGGATCCACGTTACGACGGACCTTACACTGTCGTCAGGGAAACTACAGGTGGCTCTTACGTTCTTCGCGATGAACAAGGGTTACTCGCAGCCAGAAACTTTGCACCATCACAGTTGAAAATGGTATCACAAGATGAATTGGTGGATGTCAACGAGCTATATGAACATGAAGGCCAATATTACACCATTCAATCTATTGTGGATCATAAACAACTTGCACCTCGCAACTACATGTACAGGGTACGATGGGAAGGTTATTCAGCAAACGATGATACTTGGGAACCACCCGAATCATTTAACAGCACACAACCTATTGCAGAGTACTGGAACAAGCTTGGCCGTATACCACCACACGATTATTCCATCGATGGCAACATAACCCAGCACACTGACACAGGGAAACATGCACGCAAGAGATCACGACCTCATTCTGCCAATACTTCAACACGCAAAAGCAAGCGTTTACGTTCTTCACAACGATAATGTTCAACCTGGCAGGGGGCAATGTGGTGCACACGTATAGCGGATGATCGGTTAAACATTATCCATTAC